ATATATGTTCTGGGATATACACACATATACACACACACATATATATATATACACATATACATATATATCATTTTGGAAAGTACAGAACAGAATAAGAAAAAAAATTGTCTATAGGCCCACCACCTAAGCAATTCTGGTCATTTTGATTTCTTTTCTTCTTTTTTTTAACCAATCTTTTGTTAAAGATTGGTTTAACAAAACCAATAGAGTACGATCTCTATTTGTGATTTTGAATGCTGTTTTAAGGTATTGCTTTTTCTTATTCAACATAGTATGAGCACTTTCCCATGTTATTAAAAAGTCTTCTTAAACACAATATGTAAGAACTACTGGACGAGGCAATTTTTGAGCAGAAAGTTTTTTATGCATTTTGGATTGCTTTTACAGGATGAGTGCCCGGAAGTCAGATCACTGGATTAAAAGGTATGACTATGTCAAGACTTGTTGCATGTGTTGTAAGCTATTGTTATATCCCCTTTTTCCTGGAGTTGGGAACTGAAACGCAGAAGTTGAAATAATTTGTCCTAGTTCACACAGCTAATCCTCAACAAACCCAGGACAAAACGCAGGGCAAGAGACTCCACGTTCTGTGGTCTGTGCTCAACACGGCCCAGGAGAGAAGGCTGCTACTGCCGACCGAGCATCTGATAATTTGCACTAAAGAGGACAAACAGCCCCGTGGGGGATCAATCATGGAGCAAAGGCTGACGCACCTGGGCGCAGGACACCTGGGTTCTACTGGGGGCTCCCCTGCTAACTCCATCACCCTGAGCAAAGCAAGTCCCTTGGGCCTCAACGTCAGCCTCCCGTCTGGATCTAACGCGCTGCCCTTCTGTCCAGATACCTCATTACCAGAACAAAAACAGAAACATTTTGGTTTTGATTTTACATAAAAAGACCAAAAGTAATACATTTGCTCCCACTCCATGTAACTGCTCTGTTGGCCACAAAACGGATCCGGCTGCATCCCAAGGCCAGCAGGTTGGGGTTAATGAGACAGTGAACTCCAGAAAACATGCCCCAAGCCGGAATCTGCCAGCGAGTGGCAGGAGAATGCAGTCCTTTCAAGGTCAGGTCAGATGGCCTGAAACACAGCTCAGCGCTGTATCTCGGCACCAGGCTCCGCCATCGGCACTGTAAAGACATTCCCCTCACTTCTGGTCCCTGGGACGGAGGGCATCAGCACCAGTAGGCCAGGCTACTGTCTGTCCCTGCACAAATGTGCTGAAGGGCAGCCGCCCAGGGTCCTCAGAGCATGGGGAATGGTGTGCTAGGTTCTTTTCCCAAGTGACCAGGAACTCGGATGCCACATCGGCAACTGTGAAACCAGGGCCTGTGGGACGCGGTGGGTGGGGCTGCTGTTTGTCAGTTGCTGATGTGCAGACCGCCACTTCCCGGGACTCAGGCGTGAGTGCCTCTGTGATGCGTGGAGGGTCGAGTCCCGAAATCTGTGGGAAACTGGGCATTCCTAAGTCTACATCCCTGTCTCATTTCCAGCAGCGCCAGGGGAGCAGACCGGAGGACATAGATTCCACAACACTTTTGAGCACGAAAAAATGTTTGCCCCACTGGCGGAAGATCTGTCCCATCTCTCTCGGAAAGGGGAATGGTGTGTTCAGGGAAGAAACCCAGCAGGAGACTGGATAATCCGTGTGAAAACACGCGTGTGAAGTGTCAGGACACCGTTCTGCTGACTCAGAACGAGCCACATAACATGTCATTTACATAATTAAAAGCTCGTGTACACAAAAGAACACACTTTTTGCAAGAACATGTTCAAATAAAACGAGAAACAGGCGTTAATAGAGCGGTCTACGGGCAAAGAAAGGGAATGGATTGGAGCGTGGAAACAATCACTCACCTTTCATCCGTGAAAAAGAGAGGCCTTCCAGCGGCCAGTTTTGAGAATGGCCATGAACTGAGAAATATCATCAACTCAGTCCTCTGGACCTAAGGTCCAAAATTTTAAAATGAAAGGGAAGAGAAAACAAACCAGACCCAGGAGATGTCGGTCAGAACGGCTTTGGAAGAGCCATGAGTTTATTTTTATAAAGGGAGGAGATCACTGGCGTCTACATGAGCCAGAGGAGTTTGGGCCCTGGATGCACCTTTGAACCACCAGGAGAGCTTTTAGAAGACACTGGATACGTGCCTTAGTTGCTTGGGGTGAGCCTAGGCTTCCATGCTGAAAAAGAGCCTGGTGGGTCTGACGAACAGCTGGGATGAGAAGACAGCCCTGGGGTATCCCACCCGTGCCTTTGGGCTCTGGCATGGGGGTACTCAGGAAGGGAGGGCTTGCCCGGAGAAGAGGAAGACGTGTTTTGGACAGGAAGTGTCGGTTGAAGTGACTTGAAATGAGGCGCTGTTTCAGAAGGGGGTGTTGAGGTAAACACAGGGCCTGAGGCACAGTGGTAGGGGACAGCACCAGCGTGGCCCCTGCAGCTGACCCCCACGTGTTACAGATGAAGGAGAGCCCTGACACTGAGAGAAAGTGACCTACCCAGAGATGGGTCTCCAACACAAGTGCCCCAACTCCTTTGGTCTTCCCAGCTCTCTTCCCACTGTCCCGTGGAGCCCCAGCTACTGCCGAGGCCCCCTCATCCTCCTGCTGTCTCACCAATGCCATCACAGAAGCGGCGGGGGGGGGGGCACCCCAGAAGGAGCCGGCAAGTGATTTGAGCTTCTTGAGAAAAAATAAAGAAAAGTTTAGACAGGAATCTGATGAGTTCTTGTTCATTCCTTTCCCTTTCTCAGGGAAATGTTTGCCTTCACTGAAAACTGCCTATCACCCGCTGGATTTGGGTTTTTTTCCTCCCTAAGCCCTTAATTCTGGAAGCTCATTTGTTTTTAGTTCTGTTAGTGTTGCCAGCCAGGCTCGGTAGATTCTCCTAACCACTCTTGATTTCCTGAAGCTGTGAAGATGTGTTTGGCCACCTTACTGAGGAAGAGAAGTCCGTGGAGTGAGGGTCTGAAAGGGGATGACTGAGAACATTTGGTTTCTACCAGAATACATGGAGTGTCAGGTGTCCATGTGTGAAAGGTTTTCACATTTGCTCAATGTTTACAGGCAAGAAAAGTAGGCCCAAGGGAGGTTACATAAACTTCCAAGTTATGTGCAAACTCCTATAAGGGGACTGGGTCTTACTCATTTGTGCCCCGCTGGGGCCCAGACCAGCAACAGCATAGAGGAGATGCTCATGAAATGCTCACCGAAGGGAGTGGCCGAGCTGAGATCTGCCCCCAGCCTTCTGACTTCCAGCCCGACACTGGGACCACAAGCACAGGCATGCTCAGCCTCTGAAGGCCATACAGGGTACACCTGGCCCTGGCCAGGTCTCCACACAGCCTTGACCTAGCATCATGCTGGGCACACACAGCTGGTGCTCAGCCAACGTTCACTGGACCATCCTTACAGCTCTGTTCGTGGTTACTCTGGCCCTGATTGTCAGCTTTCCATCCAGATGTATTGGCAGAGAGCCTGCAACTGGGGTGGGTCTCATGAAGCATTCCAGAAGAAACTCCAGAATCGCAGGGCTGAGAGGGAAATTAAAGGTCATCCAGTTTTACTGCTCGTTCTCCCTCCCTCCCTCCCCAAACGCAGACACAGACACACACACACACACACACACACACACACACACACACACCCTGCTTCTCTCCCCTCAGGCGCACACACTTTCTCCCACTGATTGGCTGGGCCTGCGGGTACGTTTCTGGCTCAGAAACATTTCTTTATTTGATATTGTTAATGCAGAGAAACGACATGAAGAGGCCACATGCAGGTGCTCTAGCCACAGCCCAGCTAAAGACCCCTCCGTCAGCCAGCATTAATCACTAGCCACGTAAGTGGAGATACCTCCGTATAATATACCATGCTAGAGTTATGACCAAGGTATTATTAGAGCTGCAGGAGAGAGCAGTTAGTAGTGGTGGTGATATCAGGGAAGGCTTTATCAAAGAGGTGGCAAGTGGGATAGGCCTTAAAGAATGGCTAGGCTCTGACCTTGCCCATGGGTATAAGGCAGAATTAGTGTAGACAAGCTATGACGTGAGCATTGTCATGTTGGACCTAGCACACCAGGTCAACTGTTGTCAACCAGAGAGAGGTCCATGCTCCTGGAAGCCCCGGGGTGCCCAGCAGGGTGGTGGCGGGTGGTGGCAGAGGAGGAGCTCTCAGTCACTGGATGTTGTTTACTTGCTCCAAGGACTTGGGAGAAGGCATGGAGACTGGCCAGCTTCCTCATCTCTCAGGGAAGGGTGGAAGGTGGGGAGGGCACGGAGGAAAGTGCACCAGGAGGGGCTAGATGGTGCTCTGCAGGGGCTTGGGAGGCGCTGGCTGGGTCTGCTGCCACTTAACTTGCCATAGGGCCTTGGCCTAGCTCGTCTCCCTGAGCATCTTCTCATCTGTAGAGAAGGATGGCCAGAGGATCTGGGGTTGTCTTCACTTGGATGTGAAGTTCTGGCCAGCAGTGGGGTCTTTGGCTGCACAATTGCTGGAACACCGATACGTGGCCTCTTTGTGTGATCTCTCAACCTGGGATAGTTCGGATCTCTTCGGAGCATAGTGTCTGGGTTCTAAGAGAAAGTATCCCAAGAGAAAAAAACGGAAATGCATGGAATTTGTATGATCTAGCCTCAGAATGCACATGACACCCCTTCCTGCATGCTCTAGTGGTCAAAGCAGTCACAAAGCTCTGTCCAGTTTCAAAGGGAGGGGATATAGACTCCACCACTGAATAGGATAGGCGTCAAGGTCACGTTTTAAGAAGAGCATGCAGTAATCTTTGAAAAATGCACTCTACCACAACATTCCTTACCTTGGCACTCAAAGCCTCTGCCATACGCTCCCAGCAGCATCTCCTGCTCCCTCTCAGCACAAACCTCCCCCACTCCAGGAAGGCCTGCCTCCCCGCTGTGCCCAGCATATACCATACTCATCCCAGCCTGAGACCTTGAGCCCTCTTCTACTCACTTCTTGACTGTTCAAGTCCCATCTCCCAAAGGATTCAGGTTCCTGGTGTGTTTGAGTAACAGTTAAGATAAAAAAGGAAGTCTCTTAGGAAACATAGTTCCCAGGGTCTTCTTTACTGCTCTAGAGTAAGGGCTGCTTCTTTCTGAGAATTAGTAAAACTTCTACCATGCTGAGAGTCACTTGTTCTGAAAAGCATCTACCGAACGTGGGCATGGGTCCCCTTCAACAATTACCATTGCATGCCTTCTCAGGAAACTCAGGTTCTTTATCTGTCCCAGACAGATATGGTGAGGGCAATAAATTAAAGTCAGCTTGTTTTCAACCAACAAAGAGTGTGGCTGACAGTAAAAGTGTAAATATGATTATGGTTAAGGGATTTTTTTTTTTTTAGCTTTGCTCCATTTCAGCTCATTAGACTTTCCAGTAATAAAGGGCTGGCCAGCATTCCTCGCTAATTGCTCTCCAATTAAATCAGAGGCCAGGCCCCTGCCTCCTGTGCAGACCCCAGTCCCTAGGAGCTCTGGGCATCTAGTAGTGCTCAGGAAACACTCAGTGGCTGCTTGATAGAAAAGCAGAAAGGAGGCAGCCAAACTCTGCAGTGGGTCCCCACTGAACGCAACAGAAGCAGCTAACATTCGGCAGAGCTTCCTACCCTACAAGGAGTTTTTGCATCCATTCCTTGCTCTGGTGAGGCACAGAGTAAAGGTAGTGTTGTCCCCATTTTAATGATGAGGAAGCTGAGGCTCAAAGAGGTTAAGGGGCTTTTGCAGAATCAATGGCTCCCATGTAGGGTGCAAGGACTCTAAGCTAAGTGTTTTCATTCCCCGGTCTAGATTCTTTTCTATTGCACTGCCTCCAGTTCCACTGGCTTATTCTCTCATTTCATTATTCACTCATTGATGGATTTGCCAAATGCTTAGTAAGCACCTACTTTATACACAGCATGACGTAGGCACTGGGGAAACAATGGTGAGCAAGGCAAAGTCCCTACTTCCATCGGCCATGTAGTCCAGAGGGAGAGATGGCAATAAATATCTGAACAATTACACAATTAAAAGAACTTGACATAATGGCAAGTGCTGTAAAGAAAATGGAACAGAGTAACGGGATAGAGAATGGCCAGGATTGTTGGGGCAGGGAGGTAAAGAGGGGGCCCGTTAGCTAGGATTGTCAGGAAAGGCTTCCCTGAGAAGGTGATGCTAGAGCTATGACCTTAATGCTGACAGGGCACCAGCCATTTAAAGATCTGGGGAAATGAGTCCCAGGAAGAGACTGCAGAGAGTGCAAAGGCCCTGAGGCAGAATTAGAAATAGTCATGTTAGAGTGACAGAAAGGCCAGTTAGAGTGGAGCATCTTGTGTATGGAGAGAATGGAAGGGACCAGAAGGTGTAGGGCTTTGCAGGCCATCATACAGTCTAAGCAGCTTCCAGACTAGCCACTGAGGCACAGTGGTGAACAAGATGGGTACGGGTGCCACCCTTCCGAGAATGGCCGGCCCCAAGCTTCCATGAACCTCTCGTGCTTGGTGTCAATATTGCTCCTGCCCTCTGCATCAAGGCAACCGTGGAACCACTCTAATTCTTTTGCTGGCAGGATTGTCTGAGGGATGTGACCTACATGAAAAGAGTACAGAGAGTGAAATTTGGGATTCCCAGAATCTCTATTGGATTCGATCTGCCACCTGCCCATCCCTTCTACCTTTCGCCTGTGGGTCCTGGAATTGGAGGAGGAAATGGTTGTAACTCCACAGCACCCTCACATGGTTCGCCCACCCCAACCTCCCACTTCCAATGCAGGGCCAGCCTGAAGGGAGGGTACCGAGAAGCAAAACAGCATCCCTGGCTGCCTAAGTCTTTTTGTGACATCGGATGGACAGACACGCTGATGAGGAGCAGACTTGTTGCATGAAAAACAAATTCTCCTGAAATACAAGAAGCACGCACAGGAGGCAACCCTGATAAACCGAGAATAACAGCTCACTCTGTGTGCTCTTCAGTTAGAAGCTTTAACTGGGACCCAGCAACAGTTTCCCCAAGTCACGGCAAGGATGGATAGGTAAGAAGGAAATAAGAGTCTTTCCTAACTGCCCTTTCTGTCTTCTAACCTCCATGGTGGCCTCGTCACGAATGCCCTCTCTCTATCTGTGTATCTCTCTCTCGTTTACACACACACACACACACACACACACACGTGTGCATGCCCACGCACACTTTCATTCCATTCCCTCTAGATTGCTATGTTCATGTGCTGCCCCTCCCCAAACCCTGTACCTACATCAAACCAAGGACCATGTTTATTCACAGGCCGACCTTTGGGAGAACAGATCTCCTGGATTTGCTTCCTAGACTTCCTATTATGCATAACAAACACATTGCCCTTTCAAAGCCGGGACTGAGACCTAATATTTGTGCCACACGTGGCTACATTGTAGGACTACCACAAAGGTGGATGGCCTGTTGGCAGCCTCGCAGGTCCCTCAGGGATCTGAAGCCACTTCTGCTCTGGCTGGACACCTCCAAGCTGAGCTCACATGTTTCTTGTCGACTGACGAGCATGTGTCAGCCCTGTGAGGCCGCAGCACTGCTCAACATGGCACTCCTCTGCTGAGAAGCCACTTGTGAGCAACGTGGACATCCACCCCTGGGGGAGGGAAGGGCTCATGTAGCAGATGCTGTACGATTCTAACCAGTTAGAAGTCATTGTCCAGATGCACACACAGAAGCGTGGGTGAATCTTAAAACCATAGTGCCAATTAAAAAGTCAAAAGCAGAACGAGATGGAAAAAAAACGAAATCACTTGCATACGTTAAAACCACATCCATCCGAAGCAGCTAACAACAATGCACCTTATCCAAGAATATGTACAAATCAAGAGCTAGACGTCAAGCATATTAGGATGAATTTTCTATGGGTAGGGAAATGGGAGTAAATAAGTAAAACAGGGAGGAGTTTGTAGGGACCACTGATGACAGTGAGTCATGAACTAGATAGAGAATGTGATAAACTCTATCCTCCACTGGAAGTTGCTCTGTCTCTCTCTCAAAAATGAATAAATGTTTGGGGCGCCTGGGTGGTGCAGTCGGTTAAGCGTCCGACTTCAGCCAGGTCACGATCTCGCGGTCCGTGAGTTCGAGCCCCGCGTCAGGCTCTGGGCTGATGGCTCAGAGCCTGGAGCCTGTTTCCGATTCTGTGTCTCCCTCTCTCTCTGCCCCTCCCCCATTCATGCTCTGTCTCTCTCTGTCCCAAAAATAAATAAACGTTGAAAAAAAAATTAAAAAAAAAAAGAATAAATGTTTAAAAAAATTTTTTTTAATCAAAAGGAAAGTCACAGAAACCTCTGAGCTTCTCCTGGTTGAGATTTCCAGCCTCAGCTGCCACTTCCCATTCAAGTCAAACAGGATGCTTTGCTGTGCACACGACACTGCTGACCCCTAGCCTCTGATTGTGCTGCCGCCCCCCCGCCAAAGTCCAACTCTCATGCCCCCTCCCCAGGGTGTCCCGCCTCTCTGGTGGCCCTGCACGTTCTCTGCATCACCCTGCAGGCGTGATCATGTGCCTGGAAGCGTGTACTCATCAATATGCAGAAGCGCTCCCAGTGGAGCCCCAAGGGTAGGGTGGCTCTTTTTAGGAGGGCAGTGCCGCCATGACACTCTGTGCCTTTGGCCATCTATACTCCTGGATTGTAACTCATGCCTTCTAAGGACTCTCTTGAGAGGACCTAGCCAGGAGGAAACCTTTCTCTCCACAGAGACGCAATACTTTTCCAGGAAACTCATCACAAAGGAGAGGCACACAGATGTTAGGTGATTGGCTAAGTGACAAAACTATTTCCACAAGTCCTTCTGCAGTTAGGCCCTAAGCCTTCTTCCCATGCCCAAGACAGCTCTCGGGGGTCCCCTTTCCTTACTGCAAGCCAAGGCATGGCCAGCTTGCCTCTCCCCCCTTTTTTTTTTTTAATTTTTTTTTCAACGTTTTTATTTATTTGTGGGACAGAGAGAGACAGAGCATGAACGGGGAAGGGGCAGAGAGAGAGAGGGAGACACAGAATTGGAAGCAGGCTCCAGGCTCTGAGCCATCAG